AAGTCAGTGTGACATTTACTCAGCCTGTCGTGTATCTGTCAACATACACTTAGAGTAGGCTGTCAGTAGGCTCCCTCCACGGAACATAATGCTACAGACCTCATGTACAGTACAGTACAGTACAGTACAGTATAGTACAGTACAGTACAGTACTGTGTAACATGCTGGGATATGTAATGTATGAAAACACAACATATGCAGGAATGGGAGTGGGAATAAATGTTGCATAAGCATCGAGGATCTGGCTGTAGTTGTATGACATACAGAGTCAAGGTGTGTGTGTTCAGATTTAACAGAGAGAGAATTGTTGTGGAAGTAAAAGTTATGGCTAATATGCATCTTATATAAGTTATATGTATATATATATAATATATACATACATATACATATATTTGGATACATAGATAGATAGATTGACCAGTGTTTTTTTAATTTTCTAAAAATAAAATAAAACCTTAAATTCAGGAGGCTGTTATTTGTATTCATTATTCAGATCCATTTCTGGCAGACAGTTCATCGCTGATGACGGTGACATTTACTCACAGTTTTCCCGTATCAATAATGCAGAATTATAATTGCTTCCCTTTGAAGTGGCTGTTTGAATAATCCAGGGAGGATTGCTCCCAGCCTCAGTCAGAGTTTTAACGCTGTGAAAAAAATGAACCCAGAAAAAAAACAAAAAAAACAACAACAGTGGAACCTTAATCCCCAGGTTGAGGAGAACATGCTCTGCTGTGTGTTTCCACTGTGTGTGTGTGTGTGTGTTAGCTCACTACAGGAAGATGAGATCAGAATGGATTTCAATGTAATATGACTTTATGGTTTCTTCATCCTCAGCTATGTCCCAGGTTCCTGAGGGGAAATGTGACTTTATGGCTTAAATGTAGGATGTGTGTGTGTGTAAGTGTGTGTTTGAGAGAGAGAAGGCGGAGGGGGATTCTCCAGATTTTCTAATTTGCTAACACAGTTCCAAAACATACAGGACTAGGTTTGTTTGTTATAGGAAAAATAGTTTTTGGCAAATTAACATTAATGTACCGTATTTTTCAGACTATAAGTCGCACTGCTTTTTTTCATCCTTTGGCTGGTGTGACTTAGCCCGGGGAATATGGTAACCTTGATTGCAATTAAAGAAAAGTAAAATTTGAAGTACTTACCATGCATTTATAATACACACATGGAATATGGCAGCTGCATCCAACCCAAGAATAATCTTCTTTTTTTTTATCCACATCAGTATTAGTAATTGTTTGGTCCACAGTCAAGCACATTCTTTTCATTGGCTGTCAGCACACGTACTAAATACCATTTGTGTTTTAATGATAACTGGAGGCCACCATATGTTCTCCTCTGTGTTTAATTGTCTCAAAACGGCAAGATGAGAACTCTCCAAACACCGCGTGGAACGTAACCCACACCACTGTGTTCCTTTGATATGTGTGGGCTGTACAGACTGGGTTTCTGTGGAGGTCAAAGTTCAGTTACGAACATATGGATCTGTGATTAACATGTATGGAAGTGCATCGTGACAGTAATACAAGGATGATCAAAGTGTTGGCTGATGACTGAATGAATTAACTCTGTGATCATTTTTGCTGCGCAGATGGATTCTTAATGAGAAAGAGTAGGAGTATTAATAAGTTATCTCCAGGATGGTGTAATTTAGCCCTAACACAGCAGCAGCAGCAGCAGCAGCAGCAGAGAGACTGCCTTATTGATTTACAAAATTAACTTTGATTTTTGACAAGACGAGAGGCACCGGATGGACAGCCGAATTAAAACAGGGATGAATTAGGAATTAGTGTTCTTCTCAGTTGCACTGCAGTGCTGAATGAGTCTGTATCACTGAACCACCGGAGAATACTGAGGCAGTGAAGTGTTTCACTGAGCTACACTGTCCTCTTCTCTTTCAAATGTTAATGGAAATATGACCGGAAAAATAAAAAAAACCTCCAGAGAATTCTTCAGGTGATGCTCCGTCATTGGACGGCTCCCACTGTGAACTGCACGGGGAGTCTTTTTAAAGGTCATGACCGAAAAATAATGACATAATTCTATAATAAATCCTGCAAATTGTGTTTGCTTAACTCTCGACTCATTCTTTATTGAACAGCCAGTAGGCAAATTATTATTAACAATTCATTAGCCATTAGTCAGCAGAATATGGGGACATTTAAAGGGCTTTTCTAGAAGGAAATGAAAGGACATAGAGTGCAGTAGTGCGCCACCATGTGAACAGTTCTAAACACTGTTTGGTCATTGTATGACCAAAGGTCAGACTTTGGTCAGGTGTCTGTTTTTGGGGCTTAAGGAGAGGACACAGCATGTGTGAGTCACATGATCCTCCAGACAGTCCTTACACAGACGATCACAGACGATCACAGACGGACCAAAGCCGATTGAAAACAAAGGATTGCAGTTTATGATTACTGCTGAGGCATGAGCCTGAAGAATTCTCTGCCAATCTGTTGCACTTTGTTGCACCAAACTTTGTGAGAGATTAATCTGATGACTGGTTTCTGTGTGTGTGTGTGTGTGTCCTCTGGGAGAATAATGCTGATGCTAATAGAGCTGCTACAAGAATATGTGTACAGTTTCAATATTTTTTCCAGCACAAATATGCAGTAAAAAAGAAACTACAATCTCTATCTGTTTTTGTTTATTTTGTTTTTTAAAAAATGTACAATTATATTTTACTTTTTTGTTTCATTATTTTGTTTTGTTATTTAAAAAAATGATTAAAAGGCAGCCGCCCATATTTGATCAAAGGGATCAGGCGTGAAATTGGAGGATTACAGTTCTGGTGTTGTGCGGTTCTCCGACCGATGTGACGGGCAGCTAATGTTTAACCAGCAAAACCAAAAGCAACCCATTATTTACAGAAGTGCCACAGGAGGTTGATGAAAAATTTCAAACTCTTACTTTCTGCAGGCCTGACGTTTTTCATGCAGTCAAAGAGGAATTCCAGATCTGTGGTGAACACAAACACATACACATGCACGCGTGAACACACTTTTATTTGAAGGAAGACAATAAGCTCATAGGGTTTTTGTAATGCTTGGCAAGAATGTGACACACGATCCCCAAAGATGAGGCCCAGAAAATGTCAGACTTTAGAACTTTATTATTCTGTGGCTTGAAAAAGAAAAAACCCCCAACTCAAATCCACCCAAACCAAGAAAACTCCAAGGGACGCCGTAGTGAAAAGGGAGGGACAGCAGCACATTTGCACATTCCGTTTCGGCTGGAAATCATATTAGCATTGTGGGCTGCTAAAGCCTCAAGTTGAAATGAACCATGGAAATGATTTAGGGAAGAAAGGAGAAGAAAAATCCACCAAGCTGGGTGGAGGTGGATAAGTGAAGGAAGAGGTGAAGGCAGAGGCTCTTGGGTGGAGTGGATTGAGGCGATGGCAAATTAAGGCAATTTAAAGTGAGGGACAAGCATGAGGGAGAGGAGAAGGAGGACGAGGAGGAGATGAATAAGGAGAAAGTGATGGTTGCTAACTTGGCACAGAGGAAGAGGAGGTCAGGTGGAGTTCAGTGGTGATGGAGCTCCCACCTGAGTGACTTCAAAGAGAAGCTGGTGTTGTGAAGACTGTAATGTTGTAAAAAAAAAATTCTCTCTTTCTTTCTTTTTTTTACCCATACAGAACATCAAATACTGCATTAATAGGTGAGATATTTTCAGGTCTGTTTACTGGAATAGAACAGATGATAAATCTCAGTAATTAAGTGCAGAATCATTGGTACAGCTTGTAAAACAACATCAAAAGATGTAGAAACATGAACCTTTTTTTCAAAGCCGCACGGTGTAAGATAAAGATGAAAATATGTTTTATTTAATTTCCACCCAGAAATGGAATCTAGAATCATTCCACTGACATTTTAAAGTGTACACTCACAGAAATAAAATAAGGAACCAGCTTATTTGATCAAACTTTAAAATTTAAAGGCAACACACTATGATTAAATAACTAGAAAATTTAATTAGCTACAGTATATATAATCAGCATCTTCACTATATATAAATATATATATATATATTTGTATGTATATATAATGCTTATAGGCCTATATGTGAACCTGAATGTTGCTCCTTGACCTCATCTAGTAATTAGCTCATGGTTCTGCAATGATCACAGCGACCTGTGTTTAAAGAGAAGACCCTTTTTAAGTGGCTGACAGCTTCGTCATGGCCGCTGGATTTAAGGATTCTCAGATATCTGTGTGGCAGCTGCACATGTTGAATAGAGGAGATTATTTGCACCTAGAGACCTTTAAGAAATCAATCCGTTCACTTCCCTGACAAATTAGGTCATTCAGGCATTCGCGCAGCTCCTCTTTCACGGATAAATCAGGCAGGTGGCAGACTATTGTGAAGCAAGGAGGAGACCCCCATATTGTGTTTCCAGGGTGTGCGAGTCGACAGGAGGTGGTGGGCGTGGATCTCTTTACCTGACAGTTCAAAGGGGATTCACTGGTGGGACCACCTGGCTGCCGACCCTTAGATATTTGGAAAACATTAAATGCAAAGGGTTTTAGAACTTTTCATGAAGAAAAACTTCTGGAGACAAAGCCTCGTGGGTTTCAGTGTACATAGACTGAATGTTTAATAAAAAAAAAACAAGGCTAAAATTGTATACATTATTAAACAATTTTTAAAACATTGCTAAAATTTTATAAAATAAAGTACCTTAATGATTTGTAGTTGTAAATGAAGAAAAACTGAAGAAACAAAAACAATAAGCAACAATCGCAGTTAGCCAGAAAGTTTAAAAAGGCCAGAAATAATACGAATTCGTTCAAAATAGTATTAAAGGAATTTCCTTTTAAAGAAATACTACTTATGCGACATTTTGAAAGCAATTGCTTTAGATAATTGACATTCAAATATATGACTTAATTATTAGTGACGTTATTAACCATCGATAAATGGAAAAAAGAAGAAAAAAAACCCACTACGTCATTCGTCACGTTAACAAATAGCTGAGGGCGTCCCGCCCCGCAGTGGACAACGCGGTGACAGAACCAAACACACTCCACTGGAGCAGCGGCAGCAGTAGTGACAGTTGAGGCAGAACTGCAGGAGCTGCAGAGAAGTGAACGTGTGTGAGGGAAGGAGGGAAGCTAAACTACAGAAAAGACGGAGGAAAGAACAGGATTATGTTTGTTAAAATGTTTGACAGTTGAACTTAAAAGTTGTATAAGCTGAGAACAGCCGACACGGAAGATTTAATGGAAGTGTAAAGAGAGACGGAGCGGGTATTGCAGCGTGGGTTTGTCGTGAAGAACATCTTGTTTGAGGTGAGTGGAAAACAGTGATTCAGAAAGGAAAAAGTGCACTGTTTAACGTGATACTTTTAATGTTTTTAACCTCGGTAATCCTTATGACTTTTCAAGAATTTTACTTGCTAGTTGAATGAATGAAATGTTTACCATTTTACCAGTGACTTTCCCCCATTATTGCTCCACTTTACATTAACCCAGTAGTGTTGAAAATGTTTGTGAAATGTGTAGAAAATAACGGGGTGTATGTGCAGTTATATAATATTGGATCTCATTGAAATCGACTGTGCTCCTTTGGTCTTTATGTTGTTAATGGATTAGTGTGCATGATTAACTGATTATTGATGCTATGATGTTCTGATTGATTAAAGTATTTGAACCTAATCTGTTAATCCAGATAAGTAAAATCCTTTACTTTTCTCATCATTTATAAGCTGAATATCTGTTAATCCAGATAAGTAAAATCCTGTACTTTTCTCATCATTTATAAGATGAATTTGAACGTATGAAACCGGGGGGGTTTCATACGTACCCCGGACCAAATCAGAGGCAAATGTGTTTGTGTTGCGCAATATCACACACAGAACTCCAGTGATGCAGGATGGAGAAACAAAACTCTGTGTTTTATTGATGCACACAGAAAAGTGAATTATTTAAATTCGATGCAGCGTGGAAGACAAAACTCAGCATAAAGGGCTATATAAGTGTGGTAGTTTAATTTTTGGTTACATGTCCATAGTGTTTTATCATATATGCTGTCTAATATATTTAACTATTACAGGCAGTTAAGGATTACTGAGTCCAGATATGAGCCTTTTTTAATTGCAGGAATGATAGCCGGAAAGGTTAAAGGGCCAGATTAGAAGGAAGTGAATACAGTCACGTGGGGGGAGAAACTACACAAATGCCATTGGCATACAACTTGATCCTGTTCTTGTTTCCTGCAGCTACTCGATAGAAGGAGAAAGATGTAATGAGTATGGCGGGAGGGAGTTTGATGAAAAGCAAAAGGTCATAGGCGGAGGGAATGAAAGACCACAGCGCCACTTGTTTTATGCTCTCAAGGCCTACTTTAATATATGGATTAGTTCTGAGTTGAATTGGAAGCGCCCAGGGTCTGATTGGACCATAAATAATCCCCACCGGAGCAGATATATAAGTGCTGAAAGCAGCAGCATGACTGAGATGCCTCTCCATCCCCTGGGTTGAAGGACCCCCACTTTGCTGCATGGTGACGGTTCTGATGTTGTGTAATAAGGCCACCATGCCCTTAAATATGTATTCGTAAAAAGGCCACCATGCCCTTAAATATGTATTTGTAAAAATTTCAACTCGTCCACTGCTCAAGTCAGTGCTGTGGACCACAGTTGTCGTGTTAAACCTGGTGTTAAGGTGTCATGCCACCTCACTAGAAGACCCTCTGTCATCATGTCCTGTCACTACACCTCAGGCTTGAAGGGAGGATGGGTGAGGGAGGATGGTGGAAGGCCACATACTGAGATATGGAAGAGAGAGGGGAGGTAAGAGAGAGGGGATTTATTGATGGAAGGAGGTGATAACCAAGCTGTCCAGCGATCAGGATTGGAGCAGCTTTTGAGGCGGGCAGATAGTGGAGGTGGGTGTGATGCTGAAATATCCAGGGATCATTTTTTCATCACATGGACTCTTCACATGAGGCGCTTGGGGTGTGGGCAACACATGAGACAGCTGAGATCAAGACAGCCGTCAAAGTCATGGTCAACATGCCTTTGGCAGCATGTAATCATAAAAACATTTCTCCATCTGTTCCTCTTTTTCTGGCACATTTATGAAAATGGTTTTGTTCCCCGCCTCTCATCATCTGCAGTCACGTTTGCACTAACTGATCAAGTGTGTGTGAGTCAAAACTAGAGCACAGCCACAGTTACAATCACAGCTGATGGCATTAATGTGCAAGCTGCTGCTCTGAAGATGCTGAACCATGGAAGATGGAGCCTACTGTTAAAAAAATTATAGATAATCTCAGCTGCGAAAAAAAAAATATGTAGAGCAGGACACATCTGGGACTTGGGAGCTCCGTTACACAAGAAGCACCATTTAGGTTGTCCCTCACTGTAGTAATGCTCAATTAGCAAAATGCTTCTCTGGCCATCAGGGATTGACGTGATGATGGCCTTCCATTTAATTTGCTGCAAGGTTAAAGACAGTGTAGATTGACTGGATGTGATTAAAAGCGTGCAAAAAAAGCATGTCGGCATTTTTAATTCATCCACATCGTGATGTAGCATACGTGCCAAAGGCCTTATGAAACAAAGAGTTTCTTTGCCTACTCCCATTAAGTGCATGTGAAGCAGCCAACCATGAAAAACACTGTTTTATTTGATTTTCATTTCATGCGTAAGATGTGCACTTGACTGGTGACATCATTAATTTTCTAGAAGTGGATTGTGGTCTGTTGGTCCTGATTAATGAGGATGTATTACGTACTGCTAGAATGTGATTTATTTCTTTTTTTATGCCCGAATTGGAAACTTTGTAATTGATAGTTCAGATATGAAAGGTTTTCAAATTCAAGTGTTCATTTTCCATTTATATGTTCTGTTCTGTTTCTTAAATCCACAAATTATTATTAAACTTGCAACCAAAAACCCAAACAAAACAATAGTCTTAGTTTAAATTTTCGAGTTTTCCAATACACTGATCTGAAGTCATCCTGTCCTCAAAGCATCCCAATTGTAAGCACATTGCATCAGACCACTGTCCTCCACTCTGGCACAGAGGCCCTCAGTGTAATCATAAACACAATAGATAAAAAGGTAAGTGTTCAGGCCAGCAGAGGAAAACAAGGTCTAATTTTATGTTCTAGTGTTTATTTAGAAAATACATCTTTTCCTGTATGAATGAGAGTTCTGTTCTGTTGAAGGGGCTCAGTGAGTTACGCTACCTGCAGCACTGAAGGCGTTTCTGTTGTGTTTCCTTCTAACTTTGCTTGATAGACAGGATAATGTTCCTCCTTTAAAATGAAGTCTTTGAGTGTTCAACTGGAAATGGAAATCAACTAAATTAAAAGTCAACCCAAGAATGTCCCTGTGTGCTGGACTAGCAAACTTGAGTGTACCATTGTATGCCAGGCTGGAGGCTGGTGCAGCTGTTGGTTTAAACCCATGACATGCTGACATGATAGGATCCTTTGTTCTTTCTCATTCCCCTAGTATCAATTTATAAAGTAGGGCAGAACCTGATCCCGGTATCCAAGATTTGCCTGTATGGACTTTGGATGTTCTTCCCATGTGTGCTGGGTTTTCTGCTGGAGTTTAAATATGTTTTTTTCTTTGCTCATTTAAACACTGTTATATTTACTACCACTCTAGCTTTCTAGGTTTATTTTTGTTCAAGACCCCGATCTGACCCACAGATATCATCATAAAGCTGTTTTACAGGATTTAAAGTTGTATCCCTAATGACAAATAACCTTACTGTTGTGCTAAAATGAGTCAGTTGCTCTTTACTTTTTGGGAGTCTGTTGTGTTGTCATCCCTTAGCCCTTTTAGAGTAATGTGGGTCTGTAGGTGCTCACCAGGACATCTGCTGTAGCTATTCATCAGACCTAAGGTGGAGCTGGTCGCACTCCCACCACACTCCTGCTCAAAGTCTGTCATTGTCAAATGTTTTCAGTCTCACTCTGTTATTACTCCTCCTTGACTTGTGCAATTTAGAAAACAACAAACCTTTGCCATAAGACGTGGGGAAAACTTGAACACTGGCTGTGTATAAGAGGTTTATTTCTAATCTTCTGAAAGATTTAGGAAATGACAGTTTGCAGGTCAATCAAATCTTCATTCAAATCTGATAACTGAGATTGCAGGCAGAGATGTTTGCTAAAAGCCCTCACAGTCTGTAAGAAGAGACGGAATCAATGTAGAGTGGAGTAAGTTCCTGTATAATGGACATTAGTGGGTACAACTCTGGCACAGATCACATTAGCTCCAGCAGTGGTGAAGAGTGCCAGCATCTCCAAACATCCATTAGTAGGCCTATCAAAAAATAATTTGTTCTATGTGCAGTATTTGATCACTATACCCAAAAGGGGACTGTAGAACAATGTGCATCACTCACAGAAAACTGAACTTTATAGATCTCATTATGTTACATCCAGTCAATCATTCACTCACAGAAAACTGAACTTTATAGAGCTCATTATGTTACATCCAGTCAAGTGTTTAGAAAGTAGAAAGTAGGGATTAGCCTTTTATTTAGTCTGTCCCAGAACATTGCTCTGTTTCTGTTGTCACTAAGAGTCTTGTCACTTCCCCACCAGGAACAAAATGGCCAGTGCTGAAACAGCAGACCACACACACTTAAGCGCATGATTGATGGATGACACAAGCACCGGGTCCAGAGTGAAAACACCCCAGTTTAGAACAAATGAGACCTAGAATGCAGGGAGATGGCCTGCAGAGTGAACCGTTAGTTGTTTTTATTTATTGTAATTCTTTCTCAATGGTAAAGGCCACTCGGGTTCCTCCGAACAATTTTGGCAAGGGACATTTTTCTTCCCCAGCTTGAAATCAAGCAACAAATTCTCTGTCAGAGTGGAATGCTCGTAGTGAATAACCACCCCTGCTTGCTTACAAGTGTAAAAACCATTGATCAAGCTGTTTGTTACTATGAGTCTATTGGAAACTTGATTTGTGCCTGTAGGGGAAGCAAAACATGAATTATTGATCCGTTAATAAGGCCAATTGCCCTCTGCTGCTGTGGTTTAGTTATATTTTTTGATTGGGTCTCTTGGATGTAATGTATAGTCAGATATGACACAGTGCATTCTTTCCTCAATTCTTTCCTCAGCACAATTGAATCAGTGTGTTTCTCAGTCTTTTTACTGCCAGTCAGCTCCAAGCCAATAACATAATCAAAGATCTGTTGACACCCAGCTGTTTGGACGTGTTTTCTGATTTATGGATCAGATTTCCTCCACCCTCACAGACCAAGCATCTTTTCCCATGTGTGTGTTTTGCTCAGCAAAGTGAAGCAAAGCT